AGCTATTTATTTTCTTCTCTTGCTATCATTTAGATAACTTTTACAGAAAATATAGCTCCTACTTTGGAAATAACTCATATTGAATAGTATATGTGAAGTGATTGTGTGTGTGTGTGTGTGTGTGTGTGTGTTCATTCTATAGACTAAACAGTGAATTGTTTCTCATCATTTCTTATTTCAAAATGGGGAGGAAGTCTACATTAATTTTACTGCTTATAATTGTGTATACATGTGCAAAATTTCAAACCACACTGAAGTATTCAAAAACAGAAAGTCCGAGTTACCCCTTAATCCCACTTCTGAGAGATAAACTGTGGTTAACAGTTATTTTATGTCTTCCCAAGTGTTTTATAAATATATGTTTGTATTATATGGTTCTCGCTATAGAAATAGTGTTTTGTAAAATGCGTTTTTGGTTTTTTTTCAGCCAGACAATGGAATACTTTATAGGCTAGGAAAACCTATTTGTATTGACATGAAAAGATATCCATGATACATTAAATGGATTGTTTTAAAACTAAATAGAATATCAATTATCTTTTATTGACATATATAGTCTGAGTTTAAAGGTGGTATATTTTTAGTTAGCATGTGCCTCTTTTTGAATTTAAATATGTGACTAGAAGAATACAGAACTTCCAACTATTCTATTGAAAATTAGTCTTTGGTGCCCTGGGTTTAACTATTGAAATGAAAAAGTGAATATAGAATTTCAAATACCTTTTCCCATGGGTCTTGATATTTCTGTTATTTACTTTACGTGATAAGACTATCATTTAAAATTGTGTGTTTGCCTTCCCAGGCCTCTGGACCCAGTACTCACCAGTGCTTTGCAAGGTTTATCTGTCACGGACACACACCTTGTTGAAGTAGATGGGGACACCCTTTCCCTGTATGGCTCAGGGGCACTGGAATCGCTAGACCGGAACTGGAGTGTTCAAACAGCAGGCACGGTGACCACAGTGTCCTTCGCTTTCATAGAATTTGATGAAATCGTCCAAGTGCTTCCCAAATTGAAGATGAAGTTCCCTAATTCTATGGTAAACATTTCCTTTTAGTAGGATATTTGAGCTATTCTCAGTCACGACTTGTAAGTTCAGGCCAAACACCTGTTTTTAACTCTAATGCAGTTTCTATCTGGCAGGGAGACTTCAGGCTTTGTGTTGATTTTCTGGATCTGGGATTTAAATCAGTATTCATAAATGCCCTTGAAGTTTTCTGTTAATATTGGAAATTATCTCCCTATAAAGTGATTCTTTATGGAGTATAAAGGGCTAATAGAATTTTATTCAAATTATAGATTTCTACTTTATAAAGCATTCAACAGGACCCCACCTAACCCTATAGCATGTGTTCATTTATTGTGCTTACTATTAATGGGACATGTACATTTTTACATAATTTCACACTAGTCCCCTAACAACATTTAAAATAATTTTAGTAGCTTATGAAAATTACTCTGAGAATTAGCCTTTTCCAATTAATGGTGTTATTGTATTACTTATTGGTATGCATTTACAGAAACTGTGGTTTCCATAGGAGTTCTTTCTTGAGTTTTTATTATTGTTGTTTTTCTCTGTTAGCCAAGTGATTTCTCTCACCTGCCCTGTTATAGTGTTTTTCTCTCACCGCATCATTCTCCCTACAGAAGACAGATAGAGGTGAGACAGTATGTTTAGAAAAGAGCATCCAGTTTCACAGACAGAACAGTTACCTTAGCATTTCAGTGTTAGTGACTTGATTTTTCTATAGCCAGCGTAACTTGCCTACATCGTAATTGGCAAGATACAAGTATCATCACTAATTAGCTTTCTCAGAAGCATGTGAGCCCTGTATTTATAAAGTTCTGAAATTTTCATTTCTAAACTTTCCTTTGTAGATTTAATTTCAGCAAAAAGTATATAAAAATCATTGCAGTGAGTTATTGTATGTTTATATAATTTTAAGTGTCTTAGTTTGTTAATAAATAGGGGGATGTCCTTTGCGGGAGGGAAATCACTTTGGATTCAATGTTCGATGGATTAATGGATTTCATCAATGACGCATTAGTTGGATTAAAGTTATGTAAGTTTAGTACATTCAGTTGACTTGATGTAATTGAAAACACATTAGCTAAGCCTGAAGATTACAAATTTACTTGGAGAATGAACAGTGAAGCTTCAATGTTAATATTTTAAGATGGTTAAACTTAATGTTCAGCTCTTTTTGTTTGTTTATTTTATTATTGCAGCACCTTAAATTCAAGGAAACAAATCTTGTGATGCTGCAGCAGTTTAATGCATTAGCACAACTTCGTCGCATCGACCAACTGACAATTGATCCTCATGGAAATCCAGTTGTCAATTTTACACTCTGGAAATACTATGTACTGTTTAGGCTGAGCCATTTCAGTATGCAGAAAATTAATGGGACAGAGGTAAGCTAAACACTAAGTCAAATGTAGAATAAAAATGTTCCTTTTTAAGGAAATAGTCATACAAATGGTCAGGAATTTAAGAAACCATGATAGAACTTTTGAGAAATACAGTTTTGTTTTGTTTTTTCAAATCCTGACATTTAAAATGTTAAAAAGCTAAAAATGTATTTATCCAAACACTTCTAAAGCACTAGACAAATTTTGAAAATAAAATAGTAACCACGTCATGGTGAATGGTAAATACTTTTACTATTGTTGGTAAGCATTAAGAGAAGTAAAGTGTTGGTAGAATGACAGTTTTTGTTGTTGTTTTTGTTTGTTTGTGTTTTAAAGAACACTTCTATAGGTAATATGATCTTTGTATTTTTAAAAGTGCTTTGTAGAGTGCCTGGCATGCAAAAGGGGATGGGGAAGTAATACCCATATGTCAGCTAATAGGGGTTGTGGTAGAAGGGAAGAATAAAATGGTGGAATAAGAGAATGCACACAGAGAAAGAAGAGTGATTAAAGAACGGAGAGATGAGAAGGAGATGAGCCAGGGGAAAGGTAAAAGAAGAGAAGGAGAAAAGGAGAGAAATAAAGGAAATAAAACAAGCATAAGTAATGTCTGGAGTGTTTTGTTAATAGGGTGTAACAGCTGCCTGTGGCATATCTGCATTGTATAACACAAGCCTCCAGCCTGAATAACTGAGAACTTATTAATAAAAAGTTGTTTTTAAGATTGATTCTACTAAGCTGGTCACAAATAGTCCCCTAGCTATCCAAAGACCATGTTCTCTTTAAATATTATTTTGGAAGAGAAAAAGAAATTACACTTCTTCCTCTACTGTGGAATTCCTGAACTGAACTTAAATAACCCTCCAAAGGAAAAAATCTTTAATAGGCTGTTAGTATTATTGTGAGTATCTTTTAAAATTCAGAAGACCCCCTTACTACAAGATGAGCTGTAATCACCCTTGCCGACATGGTGGTAATAGCAACTGTATTTCCCTGCAGCTGACACCCTCTAAGCACCTCTGGCCTAGAACTCCAAAAATCCAGCCTTTTATCAGGAGACGGGAGGTCTCTGAGTCAGTGTACAAGAGCGATGTGACATTCGCATCAGCGATGGCGGGCCCATGACCCGAGTATCAGCCGTCTGGTGAAGATACAGGCAAACCTGGGGCCTTTAGATGATTATTCATTTCTCCAGCTAGTTCTCGAGAGATTTGGTTCAGTCTTGTGTGCCCTGCTGGGACTTCCCCAGATAGGTCGTGAGTTCCCGGTCAAACCTAATAATTTGTGTCAGAGGTTTCCAAAGCTACTTCCAGTTCTGCACTGAACTGGAAGCAGAATGATCAGTATGGCTATGGGTGAGTAGTTCCCCCTCATTCATAGCCACACTGCCATCCCGATGAACCCTAAAGAGTGTATTTACCAGTCATGGATCACTACTAGAGGTATAATAATTTATTATAGAATCTTGAAATAGGAAGGAAGAGTGTAATATAATTATACAAAGTAGAAAAGAATTACAAAGAACCAATATAATTTATTCTGATTTAAATTTCCAAAAATGTCAATGCCAGGGATATTTGACCCTTTAATAAAAGACCTAAAATAAAGCTGCTGATCTCATCCTTGACAATATATAGTGATGTTATACTATGTTTCTGCTTCTTTGTGTAAGAGAGGATGACATTGCTTGAAGTAGAGTTAAACTGAATTATGAGCATGAAGACGAGATGGAGTAGTGGCCTGCAGTGGCCACTAGGTGACTATATTAGACCACACAACTTGTAATAGTTGTCAGCTAAGGGAGGATTTGTGGGAACAGCAGCCTCGGTAACTATGAAAGTGTAGGGAGAAGAACGGCATCAGTCTGCATTGATTCACGAGCATAAGATACTTGGGAATTATGGCTTTATTTTTTCAGAAAATGCCTATGATGTGTTAATAATGAATTTTTAAAAGATTCGAAATTTAACTGTATCAGGGTTTCTCAGCTTCAGCTCTGTTGATATTTTGGGCTAGGTAATTCTTTGTTATGCGGCCTGTCCTATGCATTTATGGGATGTTTAGCAGCATCCTTGGCCTCTACTCATTAGATGCTAGTAATACCCCTTTAGCAGTTGTGACAACCAAAAATGTCTCCAGACATTGCGAAGTGTTCCCTAGGAGCCAAAATGGCCCTGGTTAGTAACCACTGAATTACATAGACAAACTAATAGTATATAAACTGCAAGCAACCGTATTATCTAGTAAAGAAAATATGCCCAGATATTAATCCAAGTCTTGCTTTTAGCTTTTAGTATTTTCTTGTATTAACATAGGAATGAGCCCTCATAGGGGATACCTGTGATGAGTTATTCCTTGTAGTTTGAAAGGCGGACATAACTTCATAACAAACAGGAGCGTCCTGGCTAATCCAGTGTTCCATCTCTCAGGCAGGGATAAAATTATCCTTATAGGAGCAAGGTCTGAACAACACCTCGACTTACCTTTGAAACATTAAAATGAATCTATTTCATTGACATTGGGAATTTTCCCTCCTACGTCATTCTACTCCGAGAAGCTATAGGATTTCTGCAAAAATTCATTAAGAATTTAAGGGGCCTCAGTATAATACTCAGAAAAGTTTCTAAGTCAGAGATAACTCATCAACTTCTACTCATACCCCATCACCATGAGCCACATTTGTATGTCTTCATTTTAATTAAGCTCAGGGAAGAAAGATAAATATCAACAAGAACGCTTTTCTTACAGCCCAGGAGAATGTACTTTCCTGGACTAAAAAGAAAATACTAAAATCTGGACATTTCATTGGAGTTATGTTAGTTGTATCAAGCTAACAGACAGTGTTGTTTTTGACCCATCTCCATTGTATCTCCTCAGGTGACACAGAATGATATGATAATGGCTGAAAGGCTCTTTGGAATCCTAGCACACGTAGCATCTTCGGAATTGCCCCAGTACCGTGTGATTTCAATTCTGGGTGATGCCAGGTAACCTTTAATTTCTATAGTTTCAATAGAATTATTGTTGCACTACAAAAAGGGATAGATCCCACACATTTAACTGTACCATTTATACATTCCATAAACATTTATCCTAAATTTGGTTTGTGGCTGGCCCTATTCAAAGTGTTGCGGATATAAAGATGAGTAAGACAAAGTCCTTACTCTTGTGTGGCTTACAAGCTAATAAGTTAAAGATATACATAAGCAATTATAATGTTTCAGATGCTAGAAGACGGGGCTATGAGAGAGACTGACAGCATTTTGGTAGAAACATTGGGAAGGTGTCATAAAGGAGGTAACATTTTGTCTAGTTCTATAGGAATCAGTAGGATTATTTTAGGGGAAAGATCTGCAAAGGCAGACCTGTAAATAGTTCAGTATAATTGGAGCATGGGGTGATTGCTAATAGTGATAGGAAATGAAGCTAAAAAGATTATGGTTTCATTTGAAGAGCCTTGCAATTAAAACAAAAGTGAAAACATGGCAAAACAATTGTGTGCTTAGATTTATGTTCTAGAAAGGCTGCCATTTGGGCAGACAGAGGTGGGAGGAATGGAGACCAATCAAGAAGCTAGCCTGTAGTCCAGACTATTTAAGATGGTGAGGGTGAAGAAGAGGATAATTTGAAAAATATTTAGAAGAGGTGTACCTGATGGAACATATTCACTAACAGGATGTGGCATGGATGGAGGGCGAAGAGCCAAGGATGGTCTGTCAGTCATGATTCAATTATAGATAAGAGAATTCAGCCTGGCTAGAGTAAGTAGGAAATGACTGACGTACAAGGAATTAGTTATCTACAAAACCATCAGAAGGGTTGGGGAAGCAATCTCTAGACTGAGCCTAGAGAGGATGAGCCCAGAATGATACCACAGAACCAGCCCACCAAGGAAACTGCCACCTTTGCTATAGTCATGGAGCTGGGTCATCAGGAGATTGTTGTCCCAACTGCGAGCTCCAGGATTATACCACTTTAACTACACTGGGGATCAAAAAGTTCCCCACTCCCGCCCCAGAACCTGAGTCCAGAGCCATGCTGCCCTGCTATAATTTACACCAAAAAAATGGGTATCATGTGTGCTGCCCCCTCTTCCCCAGTTAGCTCAGGTCTGATTTCAGATCTTATCCAAGTGTGTCTGATTGGTGGAATCTAAATCCCATAAAAACCAGGCCGGCTGAGTGGCGCATTGGTTGAGTTGGCTTAGGATGCCAGCTCTGAGCAGCAGGGCCCCGGTTCGGGTCCCACATGAGGGCCAGTGACGCTGTGCCCTCTACAGTTAAGATGGTGAACAACAGCTCGACCTGGAGCTGGGCTGCCGTGAGTCGCTGGCAACAGCGTAGGCTTCAGTGGGGCTGGCCGGAAGCTGGTGTGCGCTTTCGTGAGTTGCCCGTGTGCCGCCGTGAGTGGCCATTCAATGGCCGGCGAGCAACTGCCTCACCTGGGAAGAGTGCAATGATAATACCAACATGGGCCAGTGAAGCGACATCCTTCACAACTAGACTAAAGAACAAAAGGACAGCAACTTGTCTGTTCCCCTTCCCCGATTCCCCAACACTGTTCCCTCCTCCAATTCCCCAATAAAATCTTTAAAAAAAAAAAATTCCATAAAAACCCACAGAACCACTCTGAGAAACAAATACTGAGAGAGGTACCACTATAAAATGAACAGTGAATGCGGGAAATATGAAGCAATGGATTCAAGAAATGAATGTGTGGAAAGAAATCAATAAAAATTATAGTTATGTAAAAAAGTATTACTGCTGATGTAAAAAAAAATTTAATAACATGAAGATAAAAATCCAGGAAAATCCTAAGAGGAAAGAAGTTAAAGTTTGCTGGGTTTCTTTCCAGGATTGGGAGAAATAATAGATATCAATTAACACCAGAAATTGATGGGAAAAAATATATGTTTAATGTATTTGTTTTAAAAATTTAAGGGCTGCCATTACAAAAAAAATTAGATGTTTAATTTCTAAATCACTAAAAAGAAAAAATAAAGCAGAAAGAGAAGAAGAAAAGCAGGAAGGAAAGAAAAAAGAAAAATAAACATGTCAGTCATCATAATAAATATCAATGAATGAAATTCTCCTATTAATAGATAGTAGCTGTCAGATTGGGTTAAGGGCCGGCCGAATGGCTCAGTTGGTTAAGAGCTCGCACAAGAGTTTGAGCTCTGAGCAACAGCGGTTCGAGGCCAGCCCGAGCTGAGCAGCCGCTAAGCTGCCAATAGATAGCAGGATGGCTCAGCTAAAAAAAAAAGAAGATTGGGTTAAAATTTGAGTTGCATATTTTTGAGAACTATCCCTAAAGAAAGCAATACATAAAGGTTGAAAATTAAGGGATGGAAAATATATAACAGGCAAATGCCAACCACAACAAATAAATATGGAAATATTAATATTAGTGATAATAGAATTGATGACACCAAAAACTACAATCTACCAAAAAAAAATAATTTTTAACTAAATGTAACCAAGATCACAGCTTCTAAATACATCAACAAATACAAGTACACATTGACAAATTAAGTTATTGTGGTAAATAATTTATTTGATTAATGGATCAAATAAACCAAAATAAAAAAGAATATTGAGGATTTGAATAACTCAGTTAACACATTTTATTAAATAAATATATTTAGAATTTTATTCCCAGAACTTATTTCCAATTCAGGGGAAAAAAAGCTATTCAAATACCTAAGAAATGTTTGAAAAAATTGAACATATATTAATCTCAAAGAAAATCTGTATGTATCCCAAAAAGCATACTTATGCAGATCACTTACTTTAATTGTAATAGCTTAAAATAATGAGCCAAAAACTGTCCATTTGGAATTGGAAAAACAAAGAAACAGAAGCAAGTTCCCAGAAAACAAAATATAAATGCCTTTAAACTAAAAAAAGAGATGTTTGACCTCAATCAAAGTTGTAGGCATGAAAATTTTAAAACAATGAGGTAACTTTGTAGGGAAAGACTAAAAGTTTAATAATGTATAGTGTGATGAAACAGGATTCATATACACTATTGGTGTTAAGGAATGTTGATAAAACTCTTTCACAACAATTTAGCAATACCTAACAAACTGTTGTTAGGTACATGTGTTTTGACTTAGTGATTTCATGTAAAGGAATATTCTAGAGATAATGGTTTTTACTTGAGCACAAATATAGGTGTCCAAGGATTTTCATTGCAGCCAGTGTTTGTAACAGCAAAAATATGAAAACTCACTAAATGTCCATTAATAGAGGACCAATTACTTGTAGCTCTAAAAATAATTAGAGGTTCTGATATGAAGCAGTCTCTAAGATATCTTAGAAAGTAAAAATGCAAGACATAGAACAATTGTATAATATGCTGTAACTTGTGAGAAATGGGGCATATATTTCAGAAATAGTCTTATGTAATTTAAATTGTTTTTTAAATGGTTGTCCCTAGGAGTTGAACTGATAACACTAGGGTTCCAAAGTGTGTAGAAGCTTACTTTTCACTCGTATGTCTATACATATTGCTTGAATTATCTTTTTGACTTTTGTTCTGCTTTATTATTTTTTTTTAAATATTTTATTGGGGAATTGGGGAAGGGAACAGCATTGGAGAATCAGGGAAGGGGAACAGACAAGTTACTGTCCTTTTATTCTTCAGCTAGTTATGGAGGACGTCGCTTCACTGGTCCATGTTGGTATTGTGATCATTACGCTCTTCCTGGCTGAGGCACTTGGTCGCTGGCCATTGGATGGCCGCTCACAGCAGCTCACACTGGCTCCCGGCCACTCACACTGGCTGCCAGCCACTCATGGTAGCTCACAGCAGCCCACGGCAGCCCCGCTGCAGCCTATGCCGTCGCCCGTGACTCACGGCAGCCCAGCTTCAGGTTGAGCTGTTGTTCACCATCTTAGCTGTAGAGGGCGCAACATCACTGGCCCATGTGGGATCCAAACCGGCGGCTCTGCTGCTTAGAGCTCACGCTCCCAAGTACACTCTTAACCAATGAGCCACTTGGCCTGCTCTGTTCTGCTTTGTTTTTGTTGTTGTTCTACTATTGTATTATTTTTTTAAAAAGGATTTTAGAAAATACTTTAACTTTTTTAGGTTAAGGAATAAGGTGAAAGCAAACTCATAAGTCACATATAAATGAATTTGACAAGAGCAGTGTATGTCAAAACCTGTGGGATGTGGCTAAAACTGTACTGAGAGGAAATTATATCTTTAATATACTTACTAGAAAACAAGAAAGATTAAAGTTAATGAGGCTTTTAATTCGAGAAGCTAGAAATTATCAAAGTAAAGTAAAAGAAAATGGAGATAAGAAATTCAGAAAAATAACAGCAACTTTTTGAAAAACAAGAAGTTGAAAAAAGAACAACTGTCCAATGAAAGCAAAAATTGACTCTTTATAAGGACCATTTCTTAAGGAAAATCCAAGACCTCAACTATTAAACTTTTTAAGAACTAGTCAGAATATGCTACAAGGAGACCAGACCCCAGTTCAGCATATAAAAATAATTAATATTTCCTCATTACAATAATAAACTATTGAAAACATAGCATTAGAAAAAGTATCCTATTTAAAGAGGCAATAAAAATAATAAAACACCAGGAAATCCACCTGACACAAAGTATGAAGTAGATTGAAATTAGGAATAATAAAGAAGTCTTAAGAAATGGAGAGATATGCACTATTAATGATTTCAGAGACATTATTATAAACATGCAAATTCATTCAAATTAAACCACAAATTTACTAAATTCCCAATCAAAAACCCTAATGAGATTTCTCAGTAAACTAAATAAGATGAATTTGTATCTTAGGGAGCCATTCATCATCCCAAATTTATAAAAATATTGTACTATACTTTGTAATACTTCCATAAGGCTTGACACATTTACCTCACAAAAATAGCCTTAAAAACATTTAAGCCAAAAGTTGACAACACTACAAATCCACATTACATTGGGAAGTTTTAATATACCTCTGAGCGATTAATAGAAAAAAGATAAAACAGTTGAACAACATGATTAACAATTTGACTTAATGGACATTTAGAGAACATTGCCCCCAACAACTGCAGAATGTACATTCTTTTCAAGCATTTATGGAATATTTATAAAAATTGACCCAATACTACCTGTAAAGCAAATGTCAATGAATTCCATGTTCCTCTGTTCAAAATGCAAGTAAGTGCTAACTTGATTACAAAATGTTAACAAGGAAATCCTCGTATATTTGAAAACTAAGAAACATTTCTAAGTAAAGCACAGGTTAAAGACAATTTCATAATGGAAATTTGAAACTACCTTGAACTGGAATACAATGAAAATGCCACGTTTCAAAACTTGTGGGATCAAGTTATGTGGTGCTAAATGGAACCATTTTAGCCTTGAAATAGGTATATCAAGAAAGAATAAAGGCTAAAAAGGAATGAGCTAAACATTGTGTCTAAAGAAATTAGAGAAAGAACAGCAAAATAATTCTTAAGAAAGCTAAAGAAAAGAAATAATGATATTAAAAACAGAATTAATAAAAAGTTGACTATTTGAAAAGACTAATAAAAGTGATAGAAAATGTATGTTTACATTGCTCTTGTAATTTAAAAATTGATAAAGAAAATAAGTTCAGATAAAGATCTCTATTACATTTTTCTTTATAAATGTGAGAATATTATACTACCTAGAATCCAATAAAAAGGATTGATTAGGTAAATTGTGATCTATATCACAATTGCATTTTAGGTATTCATTGAAATTATTTTTAATGACATAGAAAATGCTTATTTTATAACATTAAGTGAAAACAGTATACAGAATAGGATGTTTAATATGACCTTAACGTTTTACAAAATTCATAGAAAAAGCCTACAAAGAAACATGTCGAACAATGTTATGTGAACAGTGTTACAGATTTATATAGATTTATGAGTGATTTTTATCTAGTTCTCTATTCTTTTCAAAATCTTACAATTTCTAAAATGATTGTGTGACACTGTCAAATTGGAAAATAAATTTTAAAAGAGAAATTCCTCTTCTCCCAATCTTCAATTCAAGTTCACAGTAAAGTAGTAATATCACTTCATTTATAGACACCCTAAGTGGTGGAAACCAGAAAGCGACTTCCCTGGAGGATGAGTTGCAGTCCTCTGGAATTCTAGGCTTATGGACCTGTAAGTGATACTCAGCACTGTTTATGTTCTTTTTAATAATCAAATGAGGCTTCCTGTTTCATTTTTTACCTCCTACTAGAATCTTGCCCTGATATGCTAACAGTTGGAAGTCTTTGGTTTTCTGTTTGTTTTGTTTTTGCCTAAACTTAAACCAGTATCCCATTCTATTTTCTAGCTATGAGTAATACTACTGAGCTGCATAATGGAATCATGACTAATTTGTGTGATTTATACGAGGGTAACTAACTTATAATATGGGATATAAGGCTTTGAAAGTTTGGCCTACTACATCTTTAATATGGTTGTTTTATGCTCTGTGACTATTTAATTATCATATTGATTTTTTTTCTAAGATAGTGATTTTTCACTTTAGAAATGCTTGAGACAAGTTTATGTTGATGATTGGTAGTTATGAAACAAAAGAATTTAGGTTGAATAGCTTAGTAGAAAAATTGAGATATTGAAACTGAGCTCAAAGAAACTCAAACTCATAAAACAGATACTCAAAAGAATATATGTTCCCCTCTAAACTGAACAAAAATGGACATATTTTAATAAATCTGTTAAATAACTCTCTAAATCTCTTTGTCTTTCTACAGGAAGAAGCAATTCCGATATCTGCAAGAAACCAAAGGGAAAAAACCTGGTATTGTCAATGAAGAAAATAATGATAGCAAAAGACTTGCAGGAGAAAACACAAACCGTGCTATGCTAAATTATACCACAAGAGACTTTTATAATGAAAAGCTGGAGGTAAAACTACCATTGATTTTTGGAGTCTCTTGCCTGGATATATCCCATATGGCTTAGTACTCAGTGGTTGTACATTTCTCCCTTAATGAGTTAAGATAACCTGTTCTAGAATGTTAGCCAGCCTTATACATACAAAGCTGGGGACAGTAGGCCTAAGGCATGAAGAAGAGGCAGAGCCCATAGTTCCAAGATCTCCATTTCTGCAGGAAAACAAAAAAATGTTCAAAAGATATCTGTACCAAAAATCTAGACCAAAGTAAGACCAAAGGTTGTAATCTCCCTAAATTGAGAAAAGGGCTATAGCCTTGCTGTGAGGCCTTAGCTAGCCCATGCCAGACTGGCAGAGGACGCATTTCTGTTCTCTGCCTGAGTCCTTGGTGTTTTCATTCACTTCTTTCGTTCTCCTACACCATTAACTTCTGTATTCTTAGTCATGTAATATATTTGACCTGTTGTGTTTCCATGGTAGCTACTTAGTGAGAAAGGCTGGAACCAGTTCTTTATTTCTTTATGTGTTCAGAGGTTTATTGGGGGAATACAGTGCTAGGGTGCTGCTTGAACTACAAAGAAGGGTAGCATGCAGTGTCTGCCTTAATGGAGCTCAGAAAAAAAGCTGAAGAAGTCATCAAATTTACAATAGAATGTTAGATTCTACAAGAGATTTTCAGGGGACTCAATGGGGCAAAAGAATGAAACAGAGAGATAAGGCAGCACTGATTGAGCATCTATGACTTATGTGCAAGGTACTATGAGATATATATCTCATTTATATATAGTGTATATATTATATATATATGTATAGTAATACCTTGGTTTGCAAGCGTAATTCGTTCTGGAAACAAACTACTCGTATTGCAAGACATCGCTCGTTTACCATGTTAAAATGTATTAGAAATGTTTGCTCGTCTTGCGTAACACTCACAAACCAAGTTACTCACAATCCAAGGTTTTACTGTATGTAAAACATATATATATATATATATATACATATAAAACAAAAGCATTTTCAAATGCTTTTTTTAACAGCGATGGGACTCTGTATTCAAACCATATTGTAGCTAAAAACCCAGGATGTCAAAAACAAAGCAAAGCAGCAGAGCTTCTGCTGTGGAGGGAACAGCGGGTCCAGAGATGCCCTTGACTGGATCTTCTATTCTTTTCCTTTCCCCTCACCTCACCCCATCTCTTTGGAACCCACAGGGTTCTGTGGATTATAGCTTGAAAATCACTTGCCAACTCAATGTAACAATATTTTTATAGCATCCTAAAAGATGTTCAGACCCTGCTTTCAATTCTTCTGGTGAAAGAAACGTCACTACTTCAGGATGTAGCTGTATATCACTGAATAACTCCAACTGTGAAGAAATTCTTACCCGTATTCAGCTAATGACTTTCATTTAATGATCCTAGCACCGCTTTGTGTCAAAAAGAGAACAAGTCTCTTTCTTATGAAAACTCTTCAAATACTTGAAGTCAGGTAATCCTCTGTCTCATCTTAGTTCTCTCTACATTCACATCTTCACTCATTCAAAAATCATGTATTGAGCACCTTTCACACATAATACTTGGGATGTAAGAAGGTCACGTCCTTATCTTCACGGATCTTACGTTCTAATGGAGGAGACAGACATACACCGGGATAATTACAAATTAGTATAGTGAGACTGGAGGGGAGATAGCTAACCCATGTCAAGAGAGGCTTTCTAGAGAAGCTTCCTGATATTAGTCTGAAAGGTTAAAATATATAACAAAGAGAAAAAGGGCAATTCTGTCAAATGACACAGTGTGAGTAAAAGGCATGGAAGAATAAAAAAGAGAGAGCCAGGAACTAGAAGCAGTTTAGTGTTGTAGAAGCACAGAGGTTGAGGTGGGTGACGTTAAAAGATGAGACTGGCAGGTAGTCAGAGGGCTATGCGAAAGAAACCGAACATAAGCCTATGGCTAATAGAGGCTTCCTGATGTTGTCAAAAGAGGCAAATGACAGCCACGCTGGCAGGATTCTGAATCATTCTCTTCCTGAAAGAAGTTGGTTCTATGAGTCACAAATTAATTTCCGTTAAAGATATTTTTAAAAATATCAAAGAGCTGCATTCAAAACAAGAAGACTTTCATAGAGAAATCTATCAACTTTGAGGAACAGGCAGTTCCAATGATTTTTAAATTGTTCAAGAGTACTGGAAAAGAAAGAAAACTTTTACATTTCTTCAAGGTAGACAGCATAACATCGATTCCAAAATTTGTTAAGACTGCACAGCAAAAGAAAACCCAGACCAGATACTTAAGAATATTAATGATGCAAAAATCCTTTTAAAATGTTATCAATCAGGATACAGCAGAACATTAAATGAATAACAAACATTACAGCTAAGTATAGTTTATTCTAGGTATTTAAGGACTCAATATTTGTAAATTAATAGGTCTAAGGTGGAAAATTGTGTTTATTTCTGTAGACATTGAAAGGGCATTTCACATAATTCAACACCCACTAAATTTTCTTTAAATAAATAAGATAAATAGAAATTGGATAGTAAACGGCATGCATGATGGGAGAAATATAGAAATATTAGCATCAGTGGGAGGTAGAATTCTAACTATGATGGCCTCCATGATTCCACCCCCTGGTAGCCACACTTCTGTATAATATCCTCCCCTAACACAAAGAAAACCTATGACCTGCTTCTAACCAGTGAAATAATGACAAGCGTAAAGGAGTTTTTGCAGATATAATTAAGACCCCTAATTGGTTGACTGAGCGAGCATAACCTAATCAGGCAAGTCCTTTAAAAAAGGATTCGAGATTTCCCTGACAGATTCTCCTACTGGCCTGAAAATAGTAAGCCACCGTATTTTGGGGTCACATGGTAAAGAACTGAGAGAAGCTTCTAGAGAGCAGCCTCCCACTTATAGCCATCAAGAAAATGGAACTTCAGGTCCTGCAGCTGCAAGGAAGTGAATTCTGCCAACAACCACTTCAGCTTAGAAGAAGATCCCAAGCTTCAGAAAGTGTCACAGCCTGGCCAGCACCTAGACTGAGGCATCGTGAAGTCCTGCTCCGGGCAGAGCATTCAGCTCACCATGCCTGGACTGATGCATGGAAACTGTGACATAATAGATGTGTGTTGTTTTAAGCCACCAAGTTTGAGGTGATGTGTGCATGGCAAATGGAACACTAATGTATCACTGCAGCCAGTGTCAAGACAAGTATGTTCATATCACTATTACTATTTATCAAGACAAACAATGCGATTTCAGTTGCAGAAATCAACAACTTCATGTAAATAACAACCAAAAGGTAAATAGAATGGAAAACAAGACCCAACTCACAGTAGTAACGCAAAAAGATAAAATACCTAGTAATTAACTAACTAATAAATATGCAAGAGCTATATAAAGTAAACTTTAAAACATTAATGAAGCACCCGAAAGAGTTATGCAAATGGAATACCTACCATGTGTTGGATAAAAAAGATCTAAAGCAAACTATATCAGTTTTCCTTATTAAAAAATTTAATATCCCAATAAAAATACAAAAATTTTTCATCAAGGTATTTTTTAAACAAGTTGATCCTATAGTATATGTGGGAAAGATAAATAGCCATAAAAACTCTGGAAAAGAAAAATAATGAGATGACTAGCACTACTAGATATTAAGGCATATTATAAAGTGCTATCAAAACAGGATGGTTATGAAGAGATAGTCTAATGGAATAGAATGAAAAGTCAAGTATACATCTAAATACAAAAGAGAATCTATTATAAAGAATAATCTCAAACCAATAAGGAGGACTTTCCAATAAATATTTGGGAATAATTAGGGAACTGAGAAAAAAAAAGTGGGATTCATTCATTATATCTTACGCCAGCATAACTTCCAAATTGATCTATCAGAGATTTGAAAGTTTATAATGGGGCTGGCCGAGTGGCTCAGTTGGTTAAGAGCTCACTCAAGAGTTTGAGCTCTGAGCAACAGCGGTTCGATTTCCGGCCCAAGCTGAGCAGCCGCTGAGCTGCCAACAGGTGGCAGGATGGCTCAGCTTAAAAGAAAAAAAATAAAATAAAAATAAAAAAGTTTATAATGAAAGCACAAAATAAGTCTATAAGAAACCATGGAAAATTAATGTGTAGCATTGGGATGAGAAATAATAGGGGAATATTTCAGGGGAATAAAGTAAGCAAACACTAATGATAAACTGAAAAAATAGTTTGCAATAATCTCCCTAAATTATAAAGAGCTCTTAGAAAAAGGATCAGCAATTCAATATGGGTTGTATTACTTATTCAAAAGCAAATTTTAAATATGCCATTTACCACTGTAACAAACATTGTGGGAATGAATAATGAAATATGTATAAGCCCTTTATGGAGCTTATACATTAAAATTATGACATTTTATTGAAAGACATTGAAGAATAGCTAAATAGATAGTTTATGTTCATGAACAGAAGCTGTTTACATGATAAAAATGTCACTTCTTCCTAAACCCATCCATAAATATAAAGCAGTTCTAATCGAAATTTGGATACGGTTATTTGTGGAACTTCACCAGTTGATCATAAAAGGTGTCTGATAGAGCAAAGTTTTAAAATAAATTATCTAATAGACCTAAAACACACAAGAGTAAAAGTGAGAGAACTTGCCTTACCAGATATCAAGTATTATTTATAGCGTGATAATGAAGGCAGCATAGGAATAGACAGATAGACCCATGGAAAAAATAAAGAACCAGAACTATCCCATCTATTAATATATGGAAACTTTACACAGAGAGCAGGCATTGCAGACTAGTGTAGAAGGACTATGTAATAAGTGGTACTGAGGAAACCCTACTTTACACCATCCAGCAAAAGTTAACTACAGATCAAATACACACCCACGTATGAAAAGCAAAACTTTAAAGTTCTCGTTTAAAAAATAGGAAAAAGTCCTATGACCTTGGTTGGGTAGGCTATGATTTCCTAACACACAAAGGGCGCAAACTAGAAAGAAAAAAATTTAATAAA